CAATCACCCCAGGCGCTGGCTCTGACACGAGGCCAAGGTGGTTTTACTAATTCCAGGAGGCTGACGCCCCTTCCTTCCCCCCTCCTCCTCTCCCGCCAGACAAACTCCCGGGAGACTGGTCCGGAGCGTCCCTCGATGTCACATTGACCGGGGCGGGGGAGGGGAACTTTCTCGAGGAACAGCTGCGTCTCCAAAGGAATGCAAGGGGCAGAACCAGGTGGAGGTGGAGGGGGTTCTGGGTTGCTTTCCCTTCCCGGGGGGGAGGGAGGGGCAGAGGGCTTGTACCTGCTCTTTGAGAGTCTCATTAATCCCTTGGGAAGCGCCGGGGCGGGAGAGGAGACCTCTGGGAATAACTGGGTTACAAAGCCGGCTTTTGAGCCAGCCCCCAGTGACTTTGGGGCGCCTTCGGCCCAGGGCTTGTCTCCCTCCCCACCGGCCTCTCCCCGGCTCCCTGCTTCCCACGGAACTTTTCCAACGCGGGGCACTCGGCTCCCCGCTGGAGCATTCCTTTCGCAGCTTGCCCTGCTCCAGCAGACGCTCAGAGCGGCAGGGTGCGCGGGTGAGAGGGAGAGGGGTTTACAATGACACGATCGCGCACGGGCTGAGGGACGCTCCTGTCTTTCGCCACCTCCCCACGAACTCCGGCTCCTTCCCTGCGCCACATTCCAGGGCATCGTTCTGGAAGCCTATTCCCACTTTCAAAAAACCCACCCGCCCTGCCCCTGGGGAGCCCCCGAAGGGGACGGGGACCCATTAGCCACGAGGGCAAATATCCGAGAGAGCGAACCCGAGTTTGGCCCTTGTGCGTAATGGCTCCAGGAGCCGCCAGACCGCCGATTGCCTAGCGCTCGCCAGGAGAAAAGCCGGGCGGATCTCGCCCCTGGACTAGGCATCTCTCCCCGTCCAGTCCGTCCAGACTCGGATTTCGGGGTGACTCGGTTTAGATTTCTGGGTGCCTGTGGCACAGAGAGCTGCCGTGGCTGTGAAGGTTGCGCCCACCTGCGGGGATCCCAGAGTGGGAGATGCGGATTCACACGGGGCGCTCTGGGAAAGGAATGTAGCTAGGATGGCTTGTCGTATGAAAACTGCCTCCCCCCCCCACACCAAACAGCGGGGCTGGCTCCGTGTTCTAGGAAGAACCAGGCAAATCAGGAAACTGGGGGGAGGGGGCTAATTCTCTTTATCATCCGCTTCCCTGGAGAGGCGGTGCCCGCGTTCCCAGCCTCCTCGCCACTTCTGGCTTGCTCAGCCACGGAATGATTCGTTCCCCAGCGATCGGCCATTCAGGAGTTTCGAACCCGCGTTCTCTTCCCACCAGGAGGGTTCCCACTCGCTACGCTGGGTATCGACCGGCGCGTCCGTCTCCCTTCCTTGCATTTCAGGCCCTTGCAAATGTATAATAGTAATAGCGATGTAGCCGTGTTAGTCTGGTCTGGCTGAAACAAAAAACAGGACTATGCAGCACTTTAAAGACTAACAAGATGGTTTATTAGGTGATGAGCTTTCGTGGGCCAGACCCACTTCCTCACATCAATTTGTGGCATATAGATACGGTCATGCCAATTTTCTTCCACAATATGATCTGAGGAAGTGGGTCTGGCCCACGAAAGCTCATCACCTAATAAACCAGCTTGTTAGTCTTTAAAGAACGGCATAGTCCTGTTTTTTGTTTATGCAAATGTGTGTGTCCCGTGCAAACGTGTGTGATGCAAATGTGTGTGTGTGTCCCATGCAAACATGTGTGTGATGCAAACGTGTGTGTGTGCGCCCGGTGCAAACGTGTGTGTGTGTGATGCAAACATGTGTGTGTGTGTCCCATGCAAACGTGTGTGTGTGTGCCCTGTGCAAACGTGCATGTGTCCCTTGCAAATGTGTGTGTGTGTGTGTGTGTGCTGCTTTCTCCAGCCTGGATCCTGGGTGGAACTCCTCCCCCACTAGCGCCCCATCCCAGAGCCCCATCGGGGAGGGATCTGATTCAGCCCAGGCGCTCAGTGCTGATTGGGTGAGCGGGGGCACTGACGAAAAGACCATTGATTGTGAACTGGGCTCTGTCCCGCTGTCATGGAACATACCAGGGGTGCGGAACCCAAGACCCGGGGGCCGGATGTGGGCTCCAGTTAACCTGGATTGAGCCCCTGAAGCTCGACGCTCCTCCCCCGCTAGCAGTGGGGAGCCCCCAACTGATTTTTCTGTGGGTCAGCCGGTCCCCGACCCAAAAAAGGTTCCCACCCCTGGAATAAATCAAGCTGCTGGGTAGAATTGACCCTACAATGAATAATAGTTTGGGGGTCAAGACAAAGGCAGCTGCAGATTTTACCTGAGCAAAAAGGTATCTGGCTGTGACCCAGTTATACTATCAGAAGATCAGTCTAGCTAGCCATCCTTCCATCCATCCATCCATCCATCCTTCCATCCCTACATCCTGGTCTGTCTGTCTCCAGGGCTGTCTTACCCTGATCACCCAGGCACTAGCACACACTGCCTCTGATAGCAGGGACACCTGATTCTCACAAGCACAGGGGAGAACTGGCACCTGCTTTGCCCTCTGTCCCTTTCGGTGTGTCTCTGACGAGCTGGTGAATTTCGTGGGACGCTCCCAGCTGGGAAGCGCCTTGACTGGTCTGGAATGTGGGAGGAATGAAACGGTGCTGCTGGTCTGGGATGGGGCCTGGGGCAGCCCCTCCGATCTGCTGCTGCAAAACCCAGGAGCCGAGCTTAGCTGGCCCCAAGCAGCAGCGCTTCAGGAGCCTCCAAGAGCACCTGCCCACAGGGCTGCAGGAATCCAGCCAAGGGCTCCAGCTGGCGAGTTTCATCAGTTGGGGGCAGAGGGGGAGTTCCCAGACAGGAAATGAACCTCTGTTCTGTGTGTCACTGGCTGATAAAGGCCCTTGTTTGGATAGGGAGGAAGCCACTCGCATGAATCATTTGTGCTGGGAAAAGGCGAGGTGATTGCGTGTGTCTGGGTCTGCCTCTTCAAAAGGAGGAAACCTCCATGCAGTGTGCATAGGGCCTCCCCCCTCCTGCAGCTCCACAGCCCAGCAAAGGCTTTCTCAGGCTGGGGCCCAGCAAGCAGAAAACTCCCTGCCTGTTTAAAAGTCTCACAGGGGCAGCTGTGTTAGTCTGTAAGGGTAGGTCTACACTAGCTCGTTAATTCGAGCTAGGTAGGCAAATGAGGTGACCGGAGTTGACCGTTTAAATATCCCAGGCTTTATTTGCATGTTCCTGTCCGGTTGCCATTTTTAAATGCCACTAGTCCGGACTGACTGCCCGCAGCCACACGCAGCAGTTAAACCAGTGGTCCTTGACGCTTTGGGGCTGCCGGGTGCTGGGGGCAGAGCCACGGAGGGGCCGCTCACGGGCCATGTGCCTGGGGGCGGGACCAAGCATGTGCCGCACCCCCAGGGTGGGCACCGGCATGTGGTGCAACCCCGGGCAGGGGCTGCCCAGGTGCTGCGTGCCCGGTGCCAGCATCGTTGTGTGCTGTGACCCCAGGGCAGGGGCCGCCCATGCACCCAGTGCTGGCACCTGCCACACGCCTGAGGGCATGGCCAGCCCAGATTGCTCCGTGGGCGCACATAAATGGACCAGTGGGTGCCATGGCGCCCATGGGCACTGCGTTGGGGACCACTGGGGTAATTCAAACTAATTCCTTAGTTTGAATTACCTGCTACTCTTCCTCCCGTGTAGCTGCAGGCAGTTAGTTCAGACTAAGGGGATTTAAAAATGGCACCCGGACGGGAAGATACAAATAAAGCCTGGGATATTTAAATCCCGGGCTTCATTTGCAACGTTAAATGCCTACATTAGCCTCCCTAGTTCGAACGAGGGGGCTAGTGTAGACATACCCTAAGGGTGCATCTACACAGCACACTTAGCTCAAAATAAACTGCACAATTTGCACTATGCCAATGGCATAACTTATTCTGAGAGTATTTCGAAAGAGCTTATTTCGTAATTTGGTGCTGTCTACACAGCACCAAATTTCAAATTAACGCACTATTCCGAAATGCCCCTTAACCCTCATGGAATAAGCCTCCCATTCTTTCGAAATCTATTTTGAAATAATGAGCTGCTTCAATAGCTATTTCAGAATACTAACTTTAAAAAAACCCAGCCAGTAAGCCTGTAGCACCTTAGGGTATGTCTACACAGCAGCGTTATTTCGGAATAACTGACGTTATTTCAGAATAACAAAGAGTGTGTCTACACAGTGAGGCATTATTTCGGAATAATGTCAAGCTGGAGGACTTTAGTCTGACTCATAGTAACCCTCATTTCAGGGCAGTTGGAGGAAGCCAAACGCCGAGTTAAGCTATTTCGACTTCAGCTACTCAATTGACGTAGCTGAAGTTGTGTAGCTTAATTTGACTTTTGCCCTGCGGCGTAGACATATCCTTAGGCTACGTCTACACTGCCGCTCTATTTCGGGATACTGGGATACTGGAGCTATCCCAAAATAGCTATTCCACATCTTTTAAATGCACCTGTTATTTCAAAATATAAGTAGGGACTTAAAAACTTCTAGGGATGGAGATTCCACCACTTCTCTAGGAAACACATTCCAGGACTTCATCACCCTCTTAGTTTTTCCTAATATCCAGCCTAGATCTCCCCCACTACAACTTGAGACCATTGCTCCTCATTCTGTCATCTGTCACCACTGAGAACAGCCTCTCGCCAGCCTCTTTGGAACCCCCCTTCAGGGAGTTGAAGGCTGCTATCAAATCCTCCCTCGCTCTTCTCTTCTGCAGACTAAACAAGCCCAAATCCCTCAGCCTCTCCTCGTAGGTCATGTGCTCCAGCCC